AATATAAATATAAATATAAATATAAATATAAATATAAATATAAATATAAATATAAATATAAATATAAATAGATGTATATACGTATATATAAATACAAATACAAATACATAAATATAAATATAAATATACAAATAAACAACGACAAAGATAAATAGAGGGACAAAGGTAAATAAAAGTAAACAAACAAATATAAATAAATAAATAAATAAATAAATAAATATAATTATTAATACTCTCTTCCTGTGGACCTGGGGGGGCCCCGCAGACGACAGCAGCAGCAGCGCATGCAAGAGGAGAAGAATAATAATAAGAAGAAAAGGATTTATATATTTAATTAATTAATTAATTAATTAATTAATTAATTTATTTATTTATTTATTTATTTATTGTAGAGACACAGTCGTTATTTAAGCAGCAGCAGCAGCAACAGCAGCAGCAGCAGCAGCAGCAGCAATAAATAATAACACCAGCAGCAGGAGCACGAGCAGCAGCAGCAGCAACAACAAGAACAATAATTAATCAGCTTTCTTCCTTTATCTCTGTCCTTTTGTTGTTTTTTTCTCCTTTTTCTTCATTTAATTTATTATTTATTTATTTATTTATTTATTTTTTTATTATTTATTCCTTATAAACAAACAAATGCAACAAATAAATCTTTTTTTCTTCTTTTCTTCTTCCCTCCTTTCCCTATAGTTATATACCCTCCCTCTTTGTGTCTTTTTTACCTTTTTTTTCTTTTTTTTTCTTTTTTTTAATTAAATAAATAAAAAAGAGATGAATAATTCAATACATAACCCTCAACACAATATAGGGGCCCCCACTGGGGTAACAGGGGGGGGGCCCCCCATGGGGGGCCCCCCCCCTGCTTGTACCTCTCCTCCTGTTGCGTCGCAGACACTTTCCCCTACTGCAACAGCAGCAGCAGCAACAGCAGCAACAACAGCAGCAACATCACAAGAAGCTCCCTCTACTGTACCCACGGGGGCCCCTTCAGGAGGCCCTGCTGGGGCCCCTACAACAGTACCAGGGGGCCCCCATGTTGCTACACCAGGATCAGGGGTTCCCCATTCTACACCAGTTGGAGGTCCCCCAGGGGCTCCTGTAGGGGGCCCCCAAGCAGGAGTGGGCCCCCAAGGGGCCCCCCAAGGGGCCCCTCATGGAGGGGCCCCTACAGGGGTAATGCGTTATAGAGGGAATGTAAATAGGGGTACAACTGGGGTGTAT